CATGGCCGTTTGAAAACCGTATAGCCGCCGTGTTATAATGCAGCTGATTGTCTAGGGTGGTTCTTATTCCAGACGCGTCTCAGCGATGCTGGAAAATTATTCCATCGCCGAAACGCCGGGATGCCTAAGTGGAACTCAAAAGTTTGGATTGGTATTCCGAACTCAAATGTCCAATTGCTTTAGCCCATCAGGGACACGTCATAGCTTTCGAAATTTCAATTCCATTGTGTGAATACTAAGCTCGTGTCTATTAAATAACCAGTTTTTCAAGTCCCATACGCCTCTCAGTGTTTGCACGATGGAATCGATTTCTCGAACTCTACGGTATTTCCAGGGCGGTAAATTCGTAACATGGTATGTCTATGTATAATATATGCGTACATTTATAACGCAAATAATCTACATTGGCGATTTGTTTAAGCTAGTGAATCTTCAAGGTCTATAAACACCACCGACTGTGAATACCTGGGCTAATGTACTTACAGGCCGCGAAATGGGGAAGAGGCGAATTGGACGGAATTTTCGGATAGTTTTACAGCTGAAATAATTCCCTGAACATTGCTGAATCAACACGGCTCTTGTGGATGCGAAATATGTGGCGCCACTTCCCTAGAAAATATTTGTTCGATAACTGCTGTTGCCAGTAAAAATTACATACGTTGAGTTCATCATTGGCGAAAAATCTTGCAAGTTTTTGTTGAACAGCAGAGCGCTTTGCTATGGCTTGCGATCCTAGGGGACAGCTGGATGAAACTCGCTGACGCACAGGGAAAACACGTAGTCTAATCGGCTGGTCGGAGCACGTCCATCTATCTCTACGGGAGAATAGGTCCGAAATGGACGACATAAAAAGTTGGGCTCTCCTAGTCATTTTGATGAACACATATGCTCTGCCAGGAGGCGCATGAACTTCTTCGCGTTGAATGCTCATTTGGCCACTGACGTTCTGAAATGGGAGGAAATATAAATCAGGTTATCAAAATGTCAGCTTGAGGCAGGCGGCTGACAAAATGAAAAAGAATACCCTCCCTAAATGGGAGCACTTTAGCGGCTACAAGGTCGTAGAGGATAGTTTACACAACTCCATCTGCAGTGGCTATTTTGCATAGCTGCTCACAGTATGCCTCAAGAAATGCGGGACTTACATTAAATACATGAGGCCTCATTAAAAGACGAGCTAATGGATCACATGAATTCATCTTCGCCTCTTCCATATAGCTGTCGCTCCAACTCGTTAGTCATGATCGTCAGAGACGTACTCATAGCTGTCGAGTAGTTCGTCCTTTGACTCGAAAACGTGCACACACAGAGACTTCCGGGACACATTCTTCTGCAATTGGGTGCTTCGGTCATGGTCAACACCATAAGACGCCCTCTTTGCCCACCGGCTACCAAGCACAACTTTGCGTTTTCTAGATGGGCCGGGGGCTAATAGCCAAAAGCAAATCATTCTTCTGTGGACTCGCATTTGAGACACACACCACTGGTTACTGGTAGTAGTCGGCCGGTTACAGAGAACAAAAAGCCTATATCTGTGTCTCTGTATCCTCGAACGCCGACGCCGGCCGTCCGTTGCAGAGTTTGAGCCTGGATGCAGCAGGATTTGCCCCCGGACAGTTAGTCGCTTAATGATGGTTGTGGTTCTCCTGGGTTTTGGTCCTTGAATTTTGTCTACCACGCGGTTCAGTTGTTTACGCAGGCTATCCAAAGCTACCTAAGGTGGTTTGGGAACAAGTGTAAGGGGTGCATCTCTCTCCGGTAGGTTGTAATCTGACAGCCACCGGTGGTGGATACAAAAGCAACCTAAGAAAAAATCGACGAAGAAAATTTCTTGCTGATTCGAACCGACTGATCCCTAATTACAAATAACAGATATATGCAGGAAAGCCACATTGCTTGATAGAAGGAGCATGTACATTCTCCAGCCCAGTGGTCAACCCTCTGGGAGCACCGGTGTGTTTGTACCACAAACTATAATTTAGTTAACGTAGGTTTACCTGACCTTGTTTGTTCAAACACTACATAGTCCAGCCCTGGCAGTCGCGGCCGCAAGTGCCCCAGAACGAGAGAACATGCACACATAGTATTCCGACACACCACGTCAAGGAGTTAGACGTCACCCTCTAGCGTTTGCTGCCGGTCAAAGTTGTACGACGTATGCAACTCAAGTCCTAATATGAGCCAACCGGCGTGCCGGGGCACCTTTTGTATGTCGAAGTGGTGCACCCGCTCTTTGTGACGGTTTTGGCATTCTCAATACGGTTAATGGTCACATTACCAAAGCGTATCACTCCGGATTGTGCGTATACGGCCTATTTTCGGGAAATGTACAACCAGTGGGCTGTAGAGTTTCTGACAAAGCTGCCTAGGGTCTGATTTGCAGTTGCGATTTGCAAACACCACCAGTCATGATTTTACGATCATACCTGACGGTGTGCCACCCACAAGTTGGGAATAAACATTAGTATTATAAATGAACACTCCTACATCGACGACATTGTTGGTGATTCTAATTCGCCAACCGTTTCCTGGAACAGCAGGGGAAATTTGTTAAACATTTTAGGCTGTAAGCTGCAACACATAGTCCAAAGATAAGTCATCAAAATGAGGAGTTTAGCTGATATGCTTATTGCGGACCTGATAATGAAAAACCCACATCAACCCTTCGATGCTAGCTCTTCCACACAAATAATGCGCAAGCGGAATGGGGTAAATTGGTGATAGAGAAGAGCTTTTTTTCACGGATCAATACACAGGATCGAGGCTTTTGCTCAAGTTTCCCAGGCCGGCTTTTTTCTTGTCGTTCACCTGGAAGGCATGAGCAACTGTGGCGGTCCATTTGGTAGCAGCCAATCGGCCTGGTGTCGTATTGAGGGGCGCCAAGCGGACCGTCCGGGCAAAGGTCCCAATACGGCCTGACAAATGCTGACATGAAACTTGCAATCGCGGTTTGTTTCGCGACCCTCGTTGGTTCTTTGATTGAGGGGGCAAAGCTAGTGCAACGAGAGGTTCTCTTTGGGGTGAATTCAAAGAAGCCGTTACTGCGAGCTATCGTTTCCATTTTGTCAAGTAGAGGAGGCTTTTATGGAAAATAGGTTATCCTTATGGGTCAAAATTTTCAGCTGCCTTGAGGTATCAAAAAACGAATTACATCAGGAGGCAGTGCTAGGGTCCCGGTGGGTGACTTTATTTGCAAATCCCTGTGTTTCATTTTCGTGGAAGCAGTGAGAATCGTTTTACATCTGCTGACAGACGTTCTTTGGTCGGGGTTGTGGGGGGTTGCAGGTGTCTACGGCATTGGACTTCTCAATGTGCACAACTACATACTCTTCTCCCAGTCACCAAGTTTCCACCCCAAAGGTTTTCTGAAGATTTACGAGATCCACGGCCCGCCCGAAAAACAGACTAGGGTCCTGGATCTAATTATTCACCGAGACTGCAACGCCCCTATCTATTGCAAAGCGGCCGCGAAAGCGGCATGAAATGCGCATTCCAGGTAACCAAGATGCGTTGGTTTAGAAAATTACGCGTCCAGGCGAGTACCCAGTGAATAACGTATATAAGGCCGGTTCCTTAACTTAAAGATTACGTCGATATCCTTCGAAAATCAATGCGCACGAAAAATTATAAAGTGAGCATTATGAGTTATAGCTCAAGCTGCAAGATGCTGGGCATCTAAATTCCACTCCGTCGTAATCGGGAGAAAAATACTTCGGCCCCAGAGCGGAGGCCTCATAACCGCTCAGGTTCCAAGGGGTCTTCATTGGGAGATACACATGGATGGTGGAACACCCTTCATCCTAGTAATCAGTGCTTAAACTAAAGCCAGATAACATTTCGGATTCCCGAGTTTCGGGCCACTTAGGGCAAGCGATAATCCTTTAGGCAAGTGTTACCGCCGGTACAGTATAATTAGTGCCATGTATCGAAATGTTGTAGCCGGAATCCTGCGCGAGGGCTCGTGTTGAGATTGCAAGGAAAACATGGTGCACAAGATGGAATGTCTTCACCGGTAATTCATAAGGTACAGAAATGAGGAGAAAAAGAAAAGCGGGAGTAGACAAACGGGTTTAAGCAAAATGGGGTTGAAATTGGAAAACTCCCTCTGTCGCCGCTCGGCATCGTAGCTTACTCCTCTGCCAGAACCTGGACAACTTTACAACATTCCTTGTGACACCGAAACCCTCCTGGTTCTGTTTATTTGAGGTGCGTTTCAATTTCCTCGTGCTGGGAATAGTGGAGGTCACATATAACTCAGGCATACGGTACTAAGGTTTCCAAGTTCAGAGCACGCACCTGTCGGCAGATCTCTTGCTGGGTTGTGCCCATTATCAGCACAATGCATTCAGATGCAAAAGCTTCACAAGCAGAGTAAAACTTTCTGCACCAAAATGCTGCATTTTGTTGCGTATATGCTCGAATTAAAAATCGTTTCAATCTGCTTTTCATGTTTTTGCAGCTCACCAAGAATCACTGAATCAATCATACCTCTGGCGATAAAGTCTGGTAGAGTAATTTCCCAGCATCATTGAGACCCCGGAATGCTTAAATGAGGCTCAAAAGTTTGCACTGATACTCTCAACTCAAATGCCTGATTGCTTTAATCCGTCAGGGGCACGTGGTAGCTGTCGAAACTGCAATTTCATTGTGCGAATACTGAGCGCCTTATGATGGTCAGTTGGTGCGTAGAATAACCTTCCTGTGACGGCTGCCCAAAATGTACGCAGAACCCAGTTCAAATAAGGCGAGCCCTTGTAGAAGGCTTACTGACAGCGTCGAGAAAATAAAGAGTGGCTCTGAACGGAAGCCTCTGAACGACAGAGGAGACTTGAAATCTTGTGTATCGTAGCTTTGTGGAATGTGAACATTTTGTTTCAATCGATCAATTTCGTTGTTTCATTGTACGACTCGCCGGTTTTTTAACGTGATTATTCCGGAAATTGGTCAGATTCAACTTTCTCTCACTATGCATGTCATCGACCAAAACAGGCCTGGAATAATGCTCGTCTGTATTCATTTTGTTCATGCTGAACGAATTTTTTGCATACTACAGGCCTTGACGCTGGGAATAAGATTGGAATTTTTTAAGGACTTTGATAGAGCTCGACATCGTACACTGCTGGCTACACAAACACTCCATGTGGTTTAGAACTTGGGAGCATATTGGACAGAAAAACATCTGGGCCATTGAACAATAATACTTGAAGTCACTGGAACAATATCGGACCCCAAGGCCATCCATACCTTCGAGTCAGTCGTGTTCCTTGCTTTCAAAGCTAATTTACTTGTCTCGCAACCATCCCCATGCTGAATATGTGATAATGGTTCCGAGATTCGCCGGATCATCCATGAGACCCAGGTCCATTGCGTAATTTAGGGAAACCTTCGCATTTGACTAACTATAGTCTTCCGGATTTGATCGTTTGATCTAAAAGCGTTTAAAAATGCCAGATTATCTCTCTCTAAAGCCGAACTTCTTTAGCTTATCTACTCTGCTCTCACAGTTTTCATACATTTGTCGTGAATAGGCATACTTATTCACATATGAATTGTCATTGAGCAAGTCCCTGATAATTCAGCTGAATATCCTGAGAACAAAAATTCTGCAGGCAGACACCTAGGACTCCCGCACCATGACTTAGAATTCCGAAACGCTACGATTTAACCACACCACTCTCTGCGCACATTATTTGTAGTACATTTTCCCAGACCAGCAAGCCAACCGAGATCGGAAAACTTCAGATAAACTCATCAGAAAGTCCGATGGCCACGCGAAATTTCCCGTTGTCAATGGTCTGGCGTCCTGAGCTTGTATTCGAGGTCCCGAGGAGATCTCATTCTCACGTTCTATAGCCTTACCACCTCTAATCATCCTTCACCGCTAGCATGACAGTGAGCAAACAAACCTGGGCTCACCGTTGAAGCTGGAACATCGACGCAGTCACCTCAACTGCCACAGACACCTACCTCCTATGAGCTTTAAGTACTTGGAAATTTCTTTACTCTAAAGCTCCTTTCCCTTCATTTTCGGTGACGTTTATGTAATATGTAGACCTAGAACTCTATTTTACAACCAACTGGCGGCGTTCTTACATGTCTTCACCTGGAACAGAGCTCCTTGCAGCTTGCAGGGTGTGAATAGCAAAAACCTAATGGTCTCCTACCTGTCCTGTGAATCACATTAATTCCGCTTTTTCCCAGAGTTACCACCTTTTCAGGAATTGCAGTGATTGGTTTTTCAAACCAACCGACCTTGTCTTGCCCATGTCCGTTTATGGTAATCCAGTTATGATTGCCAAACTCCTAACTTCGACTCCTCCTTGGTAGTAACTACTGTCCAGTGTGCAATTAAGTGCCTATGCTGTTCGGCCCTAGGCCAACTGCACCAAAAGGTTGTCTCAGATTTCTATTGCAAGTTTGGAGGTTTGGTCGACGGAAGATAGCCAATCCAATTATCTGCTAGCGTGCACAAAATAAGCCTCATACTAACCTTTTCTGGCTCCGATTAGTAGTACTACATATACAGGCGTCTGATGTGCAATTCAAAACTAAAAACTAGTTTGGTAGTTTTGTCCCACCTAAAGATCAAGGATAACTTCAAAAGTACCCAAAAACTTTCTCTGTATACCCTGTGGATCCTAGCTCACAGCTCATGCAATTAGTCTAAGCCAAACCTAGAATAATCACTCGTAATTTCCGGGAACTTTACTCCAGGGACCTTTACTCCTTGATGTTTCCCTGCACCATATACAGGGATACAATGCTTAATTGCATTTAAAAAAGGCGGATAACAGGTAAATCCGACGCGGTTTAAGTCAACAACAAATATGTTTATATGCTTTAGATAGAAGCACGCCTGAACCTGAACCAGAACTTGACTTCTCACGGTCTAAATTTTGTTTTTAACAGATGTTACATTAACTAGTTTTAAGCAACCTTAATTTAACATATTGGCAAGAAGGGCTATACTAAAAATAAGAACAAAATACATTCAACCCAACACTAGATGACGGCGTAAAACAATGAAAAGAATTGCTTTTCTTCGACATATTAAAAGGCGGTAGAGTTAAGATCACACTTTGGTGTGCCTTATGCAGGCTTGAGAAACAAGATGACTGTATCTTGACACCAGAAGAATTATATCAGGTCAACTTAGACCATGGACAGGTCAAGCTACTTAATTTGTGCAACGTCTGCCAACCAACAGAAGCAACATTTTTGAGCTCAAGTGCTTTACAGAGAAGAAGACAAAATGCAATGTATGCGGCTTAAAGCAAAGCCTCGTTGAAACTTCAAGCAATGGAAGGTCTATTACGCAAAAAAAAGGCCGACAGCACTGAAGAATACCTGCAAAATAGAATGACTGCAATAACTGCTGCACCTAAAAAACTAAAACATAGTCTAGAACAAACTACACTTGAAAAAAACGTAGAAAAATAATCCAGTAATTAAACAGTTGGTTGTAGCCGACACTAAAATGCCCAAAGTAAAAAACTGAGTAGCCTTAAAGACAGTCGGGCAAACAGCAGCTACATAGGGTCACACTATTTTACGTATTGAGGCTAGCTGACCTGGAAGTAATAGTAGAGCTTAACCAAAATATAAATGCTGTCATAAAAATACTGTCCAGATCCGTAAATGGGAAATGTCATTCTCCATTTTGGTTGAGTAGTGGTGATAAAATAGAAAAACGACTGTTTTAATGACTCCACAGTTTAATTACCATAAAAAAACTGTCGTTAGAAACAGACTATCTGACTCATAAATAAAAAAAACAGGATTGACGGGTATGTACTGATGGTTTTGCAACACTACTCAACCAAGACAGATGTCACGCGGCCTGCAATCCGACTAATGTAGTTTTCACTAAATACGACGCGTACATATTAAAACCATTCTTCATTTTCTTGTTTTGAATGAACTAAAAGCCTTTCGCATAGCGTCTTGTTTGTTTTACGAAATAAGGTTACTTTTACGCGAAAGAAAAACGAAAATGAAAACTTGTATTGATGATAGAACTTTTTTGCATATGGTGTGGATAGCACATGATGTTTTTTGTGGTGAAACCCATGAAACCCAGAAGCCAAGATGACTTGACTGCTTTGTAGAAAAGTTGGTGTTTGTTCAAAAGCAACTTCCACTGCATAACTTCTGACACTCTGCCCAGTTATCGTAATAACGCGAATATTGGAGCCGAAATAAATAAACACCCCAGATAGATCAAGGCTTACTAGCTTACAACTGATGACCCAACTGCCTGACAAACCACGAAACCACGGACCGCACCTTGGAAGGTTACTGCTTTCAGATAACTGGGAGCAATAAGAATGTCAGATCTTTAAACCTATGGGCATAAAAATGAAGGAAAATAAACCTATTACTGCCTATACCAAAGGCATTGCGAGGAAGATTTACACATAGTCCACTCTAAAGAACAGCTTACTATTTTTACCCCCATGACACTAGTGATGTAGCAAAATAGCTTCGCTACTTGCATGGTACCGTGCATAAATCTGGTGATAATGGAGGTTTCTTAGACTCAAAACAAAGATGATACGCTGGCTGTGAGTTGGCTGCAGCAAGCAGAGGTGCATCCTCATGAACTTGTATGCTCTGGCCTACAGATGAATAAGGAAAGTGCTCTGATCCGTGTAACACCTAACTTTTGGTCTTGGTTTGAAATGAAGGTTAAAAACAAGCTGTCAAATCACTAACTCAGCTCTATGCAATCCAAACCAGTAGAATGTTACGCCACTACAGTTTTTAACCCGCTCTATCCGAGTGTGAAACAAACTCCCTACGTATGTGACGGAAGCAATTTTTTCAAGTACATTCAAGCCACTCCTCGACAAACACCAATGTTGTGACCGTAAGGATTAGCTTTCGCCAAACGTATAACCTTTGGGTTATTCCTGTGAACAATGACATGCTTGGCAGTGCATGAACACAGAGCACAAAAAGACTTCTGCCATTAGCTTGATTTTTCACCTGGTTTTGAACCAGTTTTTCTTCAAAGCCAACACTTGGATTGTTTAAACGTTTTGATAGGTCACGTTTGTCGGACAGCCCAGGAACCTGGAATTGTAAGTCACAGTCGAGAAAATGGTTGTGTAATATTAACACTTGCGAATTCAAAAACTAGTTGTGAGCCAATCCGGCAGTAATAAAACATCAGGAGATGGCTAAAGCAGACCTCATCTGTCCTAATAAAATTCCAGTTTAAATATAACCGGCTTTAGTCCGACCTTATGGAGCTATGGATGCACCAAAAGAGAACCATTTTGAAGTGCTGTCTATCAGATATTTTCTCCTAGAATGTAACGAACGGGTAATTTTCACTGCTAAGCTACATGAAACTGTATAGTGGTTGGTTGTGTTCGCCAGAAATCTTACTCAGTCTGCTCAAGCGAAGCATGTCGATGATTTTTCAATGCTGGTCTCAGTAGAAGCTTCCTCATGTTTATTACACCGCCACAAACCCACTACAATTCAGGCGTTGATATGCTAGAACAGAACAATTTTTAAAAGAATTCACTGGCTGGTAATGCCTCTGGGTATCACTTTAACTACCGGCTCACCGGTCAGTGACGTATGGAGCATAAATGGTGAGCTCATGAAACACCCTCTTTATTTTCTACTCTGCCAGGACGCCTCTATAGTAAGGGCTGGGGAACACTCTGTCAGTGTGCAGCAAGAGCAGCTTCCGGGATCTTTATCTACCAAAAACTTGCCTTATCAGTACACGGAAATGGTTTCAAACTCAAATACAACCTCATTTGTCAAACTGAAAAATCCACTTACCGCTTTATTGGGCAATGCGGTTGGAGTATTCAGATGAAGGCTGTTGCAATGTTGTATTTTTTATCACTGATACCGCAGGTTTGTAAAGACAGCAAAATAGCATGATGCACTGCGATCTTGAAGCTTATGTGCAAGCGACAACTCCTACAGATGCCCTTATTGAGGCAGCTAGACGCCTTGCTGGCCTATGCAGTTTGCGTGTCAAGTTCATGACAAGCACCGGGCCCGTAGATAGTGCGTCACCAGTCTAGCGTAAAATTGTACGACTCGCTTCTCACAATCATTTACCTAAGTGACCGGCGTTTCTTTCAACCCACAGCGGATAGAGGTAAGAAGCGTAAGCTTTGAAAACTTCAAGGGAGATTGAAATGATACTGGACCAAGGACCGCAGCCAGTCGCTGTAGTTACACTCCAACAGGCGAAAAGATAATATCATTTTCAAGTAGCTGCTGAACTCGCACAGCAGATCTTGGCCAGGGAACTCTTGGAATCAACAAATAACCGTCCAACCGGTGTCACCTTTGCATCCAAGCTTGCTTAGAACGATCAAGTGAAGCTTTTCAGCTAAGTACATCAAGGGTTGTGGTGAAGTCTTGTAGGGTGATTCCGCCTACGGCACTCCTCTTGGGGCAAAACTTAACTTCCTTCTTACTCCGACTGCTTAAGGGTCAAAACCGCTTTTCTTCGCCCTGCCAGAAACTCGTTGATTGGGCAAAATAAGAGCCAGTTTCTGGCTGACTGTACACAGCATACTGATTTTGCCCCGGCTGTCCACCTTCTTTCGATTTTCTTCCCGTTTTTACGGGGTTATTGTTGTATTCTTGGAAGCTTGCAGAAATCCTTTCTTCTAAATGTGCGTGTAGATGCGGGAATCTCTTCTGTATCAAAGGCCATGCCAAAGTTAAACCTTCCAAACACGCTGCCCTCTGATTTTACAGATGGCTTATGGCCGTCCGCAGGTCTGCTAGTGTATGCAACCCAGCCCAGTAGACGAGCTATATAGTTCATCTCATTATTTCCGAACCGGCCGGGTAGTTTTAAACACTGGATTTTAAGCTGCTGGAGTTTTATCTGTTCCTGTTAAGCTTTTCACCGTTTTTTGTCCTGTACCATCTGGAGCTATTGAATTTTCGGTCCATAGTCCTACTTAAGCCAAAGAAAAGTTCTTCTGGACAAGAACCCTTAAAGCTCTCCATTTGGTTCGGTCCGCCGTTTGTTTTCTTTTTTGTGCATGCTTTTCAAAAGCTTCGTTTTAACGCTTTCAGGGACTTTTGTCTCTTGACTTGATTTAAATAGCACTGGATTTATCTTATCAAGCCAATCGTGCATCTTTTCTTACCTCATGTTAATTATAGCCCGAACAACTGCTTTAAAATGTGCTTATTTTTGGGCCAACTGGCTTCCGGATGTAATTGAGACTATTACTAACCACCGTCCCTTGATCTTAGGCTGCCAGAAATTTTGTTGCAGTTTCCCTATTCGCCCCTATTTTACATTCAGATTAAATGAGTTTTCTTGTAGTTCATAACGGTTTTTAGGCACAAGCGCCTTGTGCACAATGCAAAAATGAAGGAATTTTGTACGCCTGTCGGTTCTGATCTCACGAATTAAAAATAACAAAACTGAGGAAGGAGAGAAACTTTGCAACCTCTGATAATGTTTTCATGGTGATTCAGTGTCACCGGTGGATAGTTTTTCTACATCTCCCGCATTTCCTTAATTCCTAAATGTGTGAGCTGAATATTAATTTCCTAGCAAACACGTTAGCAAACAAAAAACTTCAGCAGATCGAAGTGTGCTATTTTTGTGTTTCTCTACATACTAAGCATTTATGGAGTTGCAACATCCTCACCTTGTTCGCTCTGACCCAACGGATCGCTCACATCAATTGAATGTGGTACTCAAACTCTCAAAACTCGAGGTTCACACCGATACCTGTTCAGCTGAATGGATATTATTCAAATCTTACAGTGTCCAACTCTAAATAAACTGCCATTTGGGACTTATCCAACAATATCAATTTAGGGGACCAGGTTGCTGACAGTCTTTCTCATGTTCTTGGACTGTTTTGCGTAAAACTGCAATAACAAACTACAAACCTATCTCGATTCACTTAGCTCACCTTGATACAACAACGAAAGCTGGCTAAATGACTGTCTGCTTTAGCTTGAACCACGCCCCCCCCCTATTGAAATCCCTAAAGTGTTTAACCCGGTCTTCTTTATGAAGAAGTTAACTAGACTAACTAACTAACTAACTAACTAACTAGCTAACTAACTAACTAGCTAACTAACTAACTAGCTAACTAACAAGTATAAAGAAGCCGACTATTGAGGATCCCTTCTATCAAATTCTGGAGCCCTCTGGCTTAATTCAGCAGACAACCTGTCACTTAGGTGAATATGCAGCACTTCGAGTTTTTACGCACTGTCGAAATTTCCGAGGCCTTGTCACCTGAGCACATCATACCAGGCTGTGATCAGCGAGGTAACCAGGGTAACAGTGGGGCATAAGGTGCAAACGGGATGACTATTTTCATAAAGAAGCCGACTATTGAGGATCCCTTCTATCAAATTCTGGAGCCCTCTGGCTAAATTCAGCAGACAAGCTGTCACTTAGGTGACTATGCAGCACTTCGAATTTTTACGCACTGCCGAAATTTCCGAGGCCTTGACACCTGAGCACATCATACTAGGCTGTGATCAGCGAGGTATCCAGGGTAACAGTGGCGCATAAGGTGCAAACGGGATGACTATTTTCATTAGCTCAACTAAAGCCAGTATACCGCTCGTGATGGTAGACAACTTCATGTTATAGTCATCACTACACACCCTCAGCAGAAGCATATCCTGAGCTTATGTAATCCTACAACGGCCAAGATTCCACTCTGCGTAGTGGTTTGCCAGGGCATCGGACCTTCCGGAATGCTGACCCATATAATGCCCTTACTGACTATAATGTGTGGAATTCCGACTGGAAATGGTCGGGACTAGACTACTAGCATAATAACTTATTTGGACTTTGTAACTGTTTTAGGGAGAACAAAGGAGTTACTGCTGCTCTGAAGCGCCTAATGTATTTGATCATTGATGAGACAATGGAATAAGTAAGCACCACTCTACTAGTGGATGCGGCGATAAAATAATGAGGCCCGAAACTATCCGAAGACCACAAAGCTGCATAGTGGCCGTTTTGCGTGTTACGGTATGTGCCCACTGTGTTCATGTGCAAGACAAGCATTCTGCACAGTTTGGTGCAAGTCCCAGGAGGAATTTGTGCAACCACATGGTTATCACAGAATACTCGTCTTCGTTTTGATCCCAGGCTTAAGATTGATGCCTGTTACGATGAAGACTGTGGATTGGCTAGTGCTGTTCCACAATTAGGTGGTTTGAGCATCTGGCGCCCTAGGAAGACAGCTCGCTTTCTACTGGAATATTGGCATGCATGGAGGTCAAAATGGCTGTTTACTAGGCATTCGGACTCGCCACTTTAGTCCAGCTGCTTCATACCACTGGTAATGTGAGGGGACTTAAGAATTTCCGTCACGTGAGTATAGCCTCTTCATGCTAAGAAGCCAGAAAGCACTGCACATCTGTCTCATCCTTATTGGGAATCACCAAAAGTTCGCCCTTCACGAAACTCCAGTAGGGTTTTTCGAACCGGGACCTTCTGGCCAATCGTTAAACACAACGGTTCGGCCACAGACGGCTGATCATCAATGATATTAACTCGCATTTAGACGGAATATGGCGCCGCTCACCCTTCACTCAGGGAATTCACATCAACTGGTCAAACGTGTTAACTGGCCGCTTGTATTGTTTTTTTTGCTGCATTTTTTTACGAAACAGATGTTTACAATGCCTCATTTATTCATGTGCCGTCGAATTTCGAAATGACATTGAGTGACGTGTCCTCGAGCTTTAACGTAAAAGCTGCTCACTGGCATGCACAGCACACTTTTTTGGATTTTTCATTTGAACGCCTATTTGTGGAAAGTTTGAATGATCTTCTTGAGGGGTGAAACTGCAATATATTCATGGACCCATTACTTCGGCTAGTCTGTGTGCGTGAGGTCATCAACTTGCCTTCTTGCTTCCGTTGACCAAATTTGGGTCATTTCGAAGTAGAAGCAGAGCAGCTTCTCCAAAGCACATTTCATACTCTATAAAAACATCCACCTACATATTTCGTTTTTCATCTTTCAGTTTCGGTTATCCAGAACCAATGCAAAATGACCGCTGTGTGGACGGCTATGAGTTTGCAGCGACGGGATGGAGGTTCAAGCAGTTTATCCAGGAGCTTGGGTTCTCTCATATCACCACGGCTTGGAGAGGACCATTCCACTGTCCTTTTGTATTCCAACATGTCACCGAATTTCGTCCCATCTAGTGAACAGCGCTCACATTGGTCGGCGGACGAACACCTTGGGCTGTCTGCTGGCTCAGCTAGAGGATTATCGACATTCGAACCAAAACTTCAAAAAATAACAACGGACTCTGCCTCATCAATTATGTACCTGGGTAAACGCATCATTCGGGAATATCAGTGTACTTTCGTGTTACCTGATGAACAGCAGATTGGCGCCACGCGAATAGAGACATTCATGCCTGAAGACGGTAATTCATGCTTCACCCTTAGCTTGTCCGTCGCCGCTCCTCCAGAACAAAGTATGGAATCTAGATCAAAGCGTCCTATTCGACAACGCATCGAAGAGTTTTTGAGTACTGCTGATTGGAAATCTGCTATGCTAGCATCGTCTGAATCCAAAGATGCAGAGTTACTGGGCCGTTTAAGTTCGAAGTACTCTAATTCTGTAAGTCGACGCTCACGGTTTGAACGTTCCGAGAGTCAGAAGCGTCGACACGAAATGGTTCGTGCCCGAGAGGTATTTTCTGATGAGGAAGATGGAGTGCAATTTTCTTCCGACGAAGAGCCCGCCCTCAAGTCAGGCCCCTTTCCGACAGGTTCGTCCGACGGACCCCATGTCCTTAGTCCACCTCGCACAATATCGCCAGATCCTCTCGTAACAGAACGAATCACAGTATCTCACGGGCCACTGCGCCGTCCAGCCTCTAGTGCACCGCCCATTATTGCGCATGCTGAACCTCCAGGTCGACGACAAGCACCAATCAGCGATGCGAAATCGAGACAGAAATTTGAAGAGTTGCGTCGCACATGGGATGAACGAGTAGCGAGAGAACAGTCTTTCATTGATGAACAGTCATTCTCTCCAGCATTGTCTGCACATTCTCGTGCCACACAATATATTGAAGGACATCGTGGAGCTGCTGTCACTTCGATCCTACCTACCATTCCTGGAAGGAAACGCGCCCCGGAATTGTCTCATGAAGGGATGCCACATACCTCTTCCTCAGTTCCCACTCAGGGCAGCGGGACAGTCCATCCCGTCAAGAGATTTCTATCCGGCGAAGGCACTTACTTGCCGGAAACATACAAATCTCCCAGTCTTCCAGAATCCTCTGAGCTTGTTTCACCTCGCTTTGTCACATCCCCAGCCCTTTCGGAACCATCTACGGAACGCGGTGAGAAGGAGACAAGATTTGGTTACAATGAGACTAGTGTGAAAATGAATCAAGCAAACGTTGGACGTTTGGAACCCCGATTACCAGGTAGGTGTTGCCGATAGATGAGCTGACACACTTTTCATAATACCCGCTTCAAACACACTTCGTGACTCACTGTCGCTACTATTGTTTTCTTGCCAAACATCCTAACCCGGTTATAACCACCAAAACAGAATATCATTCATTGTCTCTAATTATTTTGCGAAGTCAGCAGTTAAGTGTAGGCTCAAATTACGAAACCAACATGTTGTATTGTCTATCTGAAACTACCTAGGTTCTGGACAGAAAGGAAGCGATAGGCCCAGTAATTCATTATTCGGCTTGGGCTGAAGTATATTAGACCGAGCAGATTAAGTTAAACATGTCCACTCCATACTCTCCTGTTTTTTTAGTCCACTGATGGCTTGTGAAATAGGATGCCAGTGACATGGACTGCTGTATCACACGTATGCGATGTATTGCTGACATTTTTTTGAGTCCGGCACAATGGACATTTCGGAGCAGGTACATGATTAACTGACGTCAACTGAAAATTCATGCAGCTGCCTGTGATCCGTTTGTAGTACTTGGATTGGCCACTGCGCACCTGTGGGTAAAGATCAAACGGAGCACACACAGTTATTCATTCCCATTAACTGGAAATCAGTAATCGTAGAGGCTCGCTGTGGGGTGAGATAAAATGAATAGTGATGGAGACCACTGACCAGACGGACAAACTGGAACTGCATGCAAAATCAAATGCGTTCGCACAATGTGATCCGTTTGTAGTACTTGGATTGGCCACTGCGCACCTGTGGGTAAAGATCAAACGGAGCACACACAGTTATTCATTCCCATTAACTGGAAATCAGTAATCGTAGAGGCTCGCTGTGGGGTGAGATAAAATGAATAGTGATGGAGACCTGACACAGACCACTTACCAGACGGACAAACTGGAACTGCATGCAAAATCAAATGCGTTCGCACAATAAAAACTACCTTGCCCATCTATACATACTCAGTTCGTTGCAGGTCAGACGTGTGACATTCTTCCACCCAGGCGGTTGCTCGTTCTGAGTAGGTCTTCTGACAGTACAGTTTTATGGCCGCGGTTCTTGAGTGAGCGGAAGTTCACTGGATTCAGAACTTAGGCCTGTGTTTATGGAGATACCAACAATTGAACCGCTAATTCTCATTCTGATCCGTCTGTTGCTTCTACTCTTTATATTTTTTCTCTGCTGTCAAAAACCTACTTTAGTCTCACGTGTTGCTATTGGTAGTTGTATGATAATTATGTCTTTGTTGCCTTTGAAAGAAGTGTTTTTAGCAGGTCCGTAAAATTCTTCAAGGATAAGTGCCAGTACATTGCAAAAATAACCTATTTCAGCGTGTGCATACAAAAATAGCCTTATTTATAAAGGAAACTACTCACAAGGTTGCTGAAAACTCTTTGACAGCCCACGACCGGTTTCGCCCTTCTTGGGGCTCATCAGGTAGGCGCAGTCCCCGAGTTTCCGTCAACCTTATGATCTACTTAGATAGGCTAGGCGCAGTAGTTTCCGTTAACCTTATTATGTTACGCCACACTTTGTCAGAGTTGTGTCCATGCATGAGACTAAAGTAAAGATAGCAAGCCAAGGCGCTGACACAAGTAACGGTGATTCCCTTCTGATTCCCTTCTGAATATTCATTTTGATAAGTGAGAGATATTTCATGATATTTCATAGCTGGTAGGTTTTAAAAGTGAATGCAAAATGTCCTGCCTGGCTAGACAGGCACAAGTGAGACATTTTTACATGATAAATGCTTTGCCAACGTCAACGAATCATTCAGAGTAATGCTTTCAACAGCCCATAAGTTTATAAAAAAGACATATTAGTGTTTGTAGAGGAGTGAATAGGTTTGCGCATCGACTTTCTCGCCGGCTGCGAAACGTATAATAGAGGGAACAGTGATCCACATGTCTCAATGGTTCTACTCGGCATCATCCAGTTTCTTTGAAAATGTGGGTTGCTAGTTACAGAACTGGCAGTTTTAGCCCTCATTATTACCTCCCCCTCGTGGGGTACCAGATGTAGTTATGTGCCTATCGTCTAGATCGATAGCAATGGGTCTTTCTTCGAAATGAAAGAGCGAAGTACTTTCGTAGGTAATAGTTACATCGTTATGCTGTTTCAAGTGTTCTTTCGAGCTTCTCGGAAGTGGCCGAAGTGGTCGCGATTAGTATTATCTAGTTATGGGCGGTCCTCATATTAATCGGCATATTGTGAGTTGGTAAAAATAACTGCCCTAGCATAGCATGCTCTGTCATGATGGGCAGAGGCAGAATGGGCAAAAAATGGACAGAGGACTAACATGCCATGGTATCGGTGGGCCTGCTGCCAATAGGCTGGTGACACAACGATAAACGGACGGTCAGCACCGCCATTTTCGGGAGCTTGAAGTTTGGATGTCTTGTGGCCTTGCGCTCTACTGAAGCTTACGCACCAGAAAACTGTACTGAGGCGAATGTCGCGGCAGCACTACTTTCTCACAAAATAAACTGAAACGGGCTATTTTCGCAAAACGTGGAATTATTCTGATGAATCCCAATGTGACAAAAAGTTCCTTCTAGTAACAACGTCAACTTATTGATTAATAACGGATGAATCTAGATGGCTGACAGACAGTGAAACAATGACTAATCGAAAGACTCAAAAGTCAGCTGACTTTGTGCAACCATTGAAGATGAGCCTTCAACTCCTCCCCGAAACTCTCAAGGGGAACCGCTGACTTTTAAAATATTGTTTGCAACTTTTGCCGAATCGCCTCTAAAAACATCAATGTTAGAGGAAACCACTCTGTTTTTTATCATTCTGGGAGAAGGTGAAAGTTCGATCTATTCTCTTAAGTGGCTCCACATTTCGAATCATTGTGCAATCACTGATGATTGATATGGACGAAACAGCCATCCAATGTGGATAGGTTGCAAAAACATCCTTAGGATGATACGGAAGGAAGACTGTCGTAATAATAAGGATTCATTGAAATCCAACCACCGGTTTTGCTCTGTGTGAGATACATCAGGTATGCGACAGGTTTATTCAGAGCTCGTTCTACTTATTTTCACAGAACTAAATGACTGATCATTCACCACGCTACCGTTGGGTTCTCCTCCACATTTTCGTGCAACAAAAGTGGGTCGTATATATCAACGAGGTGGACCTTGCATTCTCTAAAGTTGGACGCGGGATCAAAAAACAAACACAGGCTTTTTGTAGAAATCTTGGTGAAAATGTGGATGTAGGCATAGTTCCTGAGATTTGATTCCGTTTTAGAGCCTGTCATTCTTCAAACATTGAATATACAAACCATTGGAAATAATCCACTAGGTATTCATGTCAAAGTCTCACGCTTCACTATTTACTGTGTTCGGTGGTTTCACTATGCTACCTTATAAAGTCACAAATATTCATTCAGCAACTCACGTATACTGCCAAACCCCATGGCACATGATTTTTGGAAGTGGCTGATTAAAAACACACCTCAGGAATATGCTAATACCTTCGTCATTCTGTTCACATACTACCTGAACCGTCGTCTCAAAACGGTGCTGTATGGCGGACAAGTGGATCGGGTGTGGACTCGTGCTTTATCGATCATTTACTCTCACCCGTGAATGTGCTCGCGTGTGCCTGATGTGATCCAATTTGACTGATTCTCTTTGGTCGGACCTGAAGTGTGGCACGTGACCCCGTGACTGATGTATTGACTGGTACTACACCATGTTATTGATTAGGCCCCGAAAGATCTTGCTAGTTTGCACGACTATTCTATTGGCTGAACAATTAACGGTGTTCAGCTTCTGCTGGTATTGTTCTCCTACCGGTTACTGACAATCTGGAGTTTATGAGGCCCCATGCAGTGAAGCTACAGCTGAACATCCAGAGATGTGGAAAGCATTCCTCACAGATCTTGTGGGAATTTTTTTGTCTCACTCATGTCGTCATGTCGACATCGTCAGACTTCGTAAGCAGAGAAAGGAAGGCCATTCTACCTCCTAACTTTACCAGCAAACTGTTGGAATGACATAACAAGCAGTGACATTTCAGTCTGCCTGACCTGACTGAAAGCAACAGAGTTCCTCGGGTTTATATCAGCTGATTGTCATGTGGGAGGAGGTATGTGGATGAATATGCATCGATGTATTGAATCAAAGGTTCTAGACCCATTTTTCCGGTGCTCGATACGGGCAAAACTAAACCTAGTGAGGCAGACCCGCATTCAGAAAACAGTACTCTTCTGGAAAACGGAGTTGTATTTCGTTCATTCAAATTTCTTCAAATTCAACGCGGAATAATCTGATCCAGATCAACGAAGCAACTTGCCAATGTTGTGTTCAACAAGGGAAGTTGGCAATGCGCTAGTTAATGAAACTGCGCCTAAACCGATGCAACTACTTGAGATTTTCAGTTGACACCATGAAATCCCAAACTCTGCACGCCAAACCGAAACCATCAGTACTCTCCGAGTGATATCGCTCAGTGGATATCAATCCAGCTTATGTGTACAAAAGATTTCGAACTCTCCTTGGACGTGACTGGTCCAAAACGCAATTCGCTTTATCCCACTGCTATATTCCAACTTACTTTTTAAACGGACTATCTTCAATACTTGAGCCGAAAAATAACACCGAAACTTCCACCATCTGTGGTCTGTTATTTCTCTCTTCCGAAGTACTTCAAACTTAAAAGGACGAGAAACAGAGGATGCACCAACTAATTTGGAACTGTTCTGCAATTGATTTGTGTAACTTGACATAGCTAAGGATGCATACTCATGCTTCTTCCAGCACATTCACGCTTTCTGAAAACGCTCCGATGTAGTAACATCTCCGCTGCGAAGGGCACCTCCTTGATATCTGAGAACGATGTTGAAGTGATCCATTTTCGATGACATTTTATGAGTTGAAAACACAGTAAACTAAATGAAATATGGCGTACAAAACCAGCGCCCAGTTCTGCTTTATGCCACTCATATTTTCTGTAAATTAGCCAGCACCTTTCTTGTGCGTGATGGCGAAGGAA